TCAAAGCTGGCCTGTGGCTGCACTCTTCCGTCGTGGAGGTGGGAGGGATGGAAACCAATCCGCCCCAAGCACGCCTGTCAAGCCAAAGCCTACCTGGCGCGCTGACCAAACACCAGAGAGTTCAGAGAAGTTGGAGACCTGAAAACACACCCGTGGCGTCTTCGGCCGGCTCGGCTGGGGCTGACCACTGGTCAGGGAGCGATGTGGCAGAGTTGCTCAGGTCATAAGTTTTGTTTCTGAATTGTACGCCCTGTGCGTTCGGGCATGGAGAAGTGCCAATCTGCCGAAGGAGGGACTGAGACTGAGAGGCCGGGACCCGGCACCCGTGGAGAAGCTTGGGCTAATCACTTGGCTTTTGGTACAGGGCTTGGAGGGCGGCCGTGCGGAGGATTAAACTAGCCAGTCCCAAGAGTGGGTTGAGAGCTGGTGGCCGCCTGAGGCCACCGGGGGGAAGAAGCGCAAGTGTCTCTTTGACGATAGTCGCTTTAGATGCTGCTTGCATCGATGAGAAGTACCTCGTCTCTCTTGATCTAAGCCTTGCTTTCGACACCCTTCACCCCAATATGGTCGTACTCAGGCCACGCGAGACCTCGTTCGTGATGTTACCTCTCAGCTTCGTAGGCATGATGATGAAGTTAGGCGTCAAAAGCTGAAAGCCTGGTGCGAGCGGCTTTTCACTGGCTCCTCTGAGGTTAGCCAGTGGCTCAAAGCCAAGGACCGCACGTACGTCAACTGCGTCAGTACTGTTGGTGATGATGAGCAGGTTGTTAGACCCAAGTCGTTGTGGAGGGCTCCCTTGTTGTCTATAATTACTGGAAAGAGTTTTGGCTTCGCCGGACCGCAGCAGACCTTGTTTGGGTCGCCGCATGCAAACCTTGCTGACCACATCAGGAAGTCGCGTTGCCGCTCGCTATCGGCGCGGACCTCCTCGCCAAGGCCCGCAAGGGTGGGAGTGCTGGCTCACCTGACAGCTGGACCGGTGGTGAAATCAGCACTTGCCTGAGGAAGTTTTCGAAACCTTTGCTGCGCTCGCCAAGGAGTGGGTTGATAACGGGGCTGTGCTGGCCTAGTTCTGTCAGCTTGCTTACACCTGGTGGCCACCTGCTCAACCAGACGGTGCCCGTTGACAAGCTCCGGCCCATTACTGTCATGAGCAGTTGGTGGAGGCTGTGGGTGTCCACGCTTTATCACTCTGACGCCTTCCAGGTTGGGATGCGGTCGGTTTTAACCCCTGAAGTTTGTGCAATCACGGGGGAGGATATTTATGCTACTCTCATTCGCATTTCCGAGCAACTTTCTGAGCAAGGCATGGTTTTGCACTTGACTTTTCCAAGGCCTTTGATTGTTTGGATGCTAGGGTCACGACGGCCATGTTGCAGAAGTATGGGTGGGCCCCGGGGTTGCTTAGGGTCTTCTAGCTGGTTTGGTTGCGGCTTGATAGGTTCATCCAGTTTCAGCAGCACACGCGTCCGGAACCCTTGACTGGGGGTGTGCAGCCCCAAGGAGGCCCTATGGGTCCCTTGGTTGTGTCTCTTTGGATTCAAGCAAGGCTAAAATTTGTGCAGCGTCATGCTCAGGCACCCGCGAGTACCGTCATGTACATTGACGACAGAACCATTGCTGGTAATAGTGCCCCAGTTCTCGCTGCTCATCAAGCCTCTTGGCCCTCCTGGAGTGATCAAGCAGGTTTGGTTGAAAACGTGGCCAACACTGAAGCCACAGGTACCAGTGCTAGGTTCCAAAAGGCTCTTGGTACTTGTCTTCAGCCCCGTGCTTGCGCTTACTGTAATCCCAGAAGCCATACCGAAGCGGAAGAGCTCCGGCTTAATAGCGCTAAGGAGCGGCTCAGGCTACTTGGATGTGTTGGCTTTGGGTTGGACAGGTTTCTTCGCGAAGCTAAGAGTTTTGCGATGTCTAAAACTAACCACGGTTGGATTGCTAGGGCCCCGATCCTCACGGCTTCGAAGCAGCTGTGGAGTTGCTTGTGGAGAGCTGCGACAAGGGTTCATTGTAGTAGTCCTTGGGTTACGGCTTTGATTTGGAACAACTGTCATCTTGATGTTTTGTGGGTGACTCGGCTTGTAGGGGGTTTGCTCGGGCGTGCTGCCAAGGAAACTGTGCAGTGGACGCTGCGCAGAGGAACTGCCTGCTGCGCTGTGCATGATTGGCTTATTCAAAGGGGTTGGGTCCTGGTTGGGGAATGGCAGTGGCGCCATGCTCTGGCTAATGAGGCCCTTAACCTTGTAGGCCGAGGGTCACTTCTGCAGCCTTAGACCGGCGCATCAGGGGTTGCCTTGCAGTGGCTGGGGTCTGAGCGTCACGAGCTTAACGGCTTTGACCTTTGGCAAGCAGGAGGTCGTGGATTAGCTAGGGTCTCTTGGAAAGGAGTCTGCAATTGGGCCAATTCTTCGGCAGTGGCATCAGGGAGCACTTCCGCGCCAGCTACTTGGAGCAGAGTGGGCCCCGCCTGCCCAGCTGGAACTCCGATCATTGCATTTGGAACTGTGGGGGACTGGGCTCTCACAAGCACATGTCTTGGGAATGCCGGCTAAAGCCCTCATGTATCCCTTGTCCTGCTAATCCGCTTGTCGCTCGTTTCGGGTGGACAGTGCAGCGTGGGGAGCAGGGACGGGCCCTGCAGCAGATTCGTTGCTGGATGGTGCGAGTCCAAACAGAGATTTGGAAGGTACATCACCCTGGGCGGCCTCCAGGAGACCAAGATGGGTGGCCCCTTAAGGCTTCAGTAGCTTGCCGATGTTTTTCGGCAGCAGGATGGGAAACCGTCCAACTAAGGCGTGGCTTGGCTAGCTTCTTGAGTTCAGCTAAGGACATGCTCCTTGCAAGGCTTTACTTGGCCAGCTTTGTGGGCTCAGCTAAGGACATGCTCGGTGCTTACTCGATGTCGCGGATGAGCACTACCAAAAGCTGTATGTAGGGCCGCGCGGGGGTGGGTCTTTACGCACCCAAAAAATTAAGGAGGTTAGGAAGGGACAGTCGGCGGTGTCTTTTGCCTTTCAAGAGGGCACAAGTTCTTGCCCGCACTTGCGTGCCATATTGCGAGGGCATAATCTCGACTTCCGTTTCCGCGTACTGCTGGCTAACTTGCAGGCCCTTTACAGACAAGTCGTCAAGAGGCATCAGGAGGCGCCGGCATCTTGGTCAACAAGAAGATGGTCAGAAATGGCACGAACGTGCATGGCTTACTACGGGTGGGTTGTGCATGATGATTGCCGTTGGGGTCATGCGGCATGCGGGGTTAGTGTCATCTTTTCTCTGTTGCATGACCAGCGCTGCGAGGACAAAGAGAATGTGCAGTACTTGTGGCGGGAGGCCTTCAGGCATTTCCACTGCAACAAGTGGCGTCTCAAAGCGAGGAGGGATTCTAGAGAGTGTCGTGACTGTCTTTACGATGCTGCTGTCTGTGCCCGGGCCAGAAACTGGGCCTCTGAAAGCCGTGTTTCCTTCCTGGTTCTCACCGGGAGCACAGTCAGCCCAGCAGCTCTAGACAAGATGAAGGAAGGAGAAGTTGCATCTTGTCCCGTTTGCCAGGACCGTGAAGCGCAGGAAGCCCCAGCCGTGGTCACAATGCAGCACATCTTGTGCAGTGGTTTGCAGGACAGGCGTGTGTCTATGCTTGGACATTCCATCCCGCGAATGAGTGCAATTCAGAAAAGGATGGCATGGCCCTCAGGGAGCCCAGCTGACAGCCAAGTCAGGGCATGGCATGAATGCGTGCGAAAAATGATTCTGGCCAAAAGATATTGTCGGTAGCATCCGCTTGCAGGTTCCTTAAGTGTTGGTGTGGGCGTGCCCGCACTCGGCCCAAGCCCGTTCACAGGGCTGGTGTCGTACAAGTATGATGATGATGGTTGCATGGTGACCTAGTTGAACCCCCGAACTCTAAATCCTAGCCCCAACTCCTAACTCCTTCAACCCTAAACAGGAACTTGCCCAGGTTTGGATGGACTTTCAGCTTTGATCCGCCCTGGCGGAGCCGCTGTGGTGGCTCTCTCAGGGCCACAGTTGACTTTGGGGGACTGTTGAGTGCGGGGGTCAGTGAAAAGTATTGAAGGAACCTGCAGCTTGGGGTTTAGGGAGAGTCCACATCGTTTGATGACTGTTGGGGTGGGTAATGTATTACATCTGTCACATTTGTCCGCCTGGGTCTGTCTAAGAAGTACAAATGCAAAATCCGAAGTACCGTGAAAAGACCACCATAGGTCTTGTATCAGTGTTGACAGTAGCAGACGTAGCACGGGTGGTAGATGTATTCTTGAGAGTAGGAGGAGCAAGAGGACGAGCCATAGGAGTAGCATTAGGAGTTGCACTGGCAGGAAATGCCTGTAGTCGTACCACAATGCTTCATTCTTTTGACATTTGTCATGTTGCCATGCTTCCTTCACGATGTCAAACAATTTTATGATCACTCTGACTCGATCCATTCCCGCTATCATTGCGCAGCACTCTCAGAGTTTGCACGCTGCTAAAACTAGCCGTTTGCAGTTGAACGCACCCATCAGCGATGTGGCTGGCAAACTTAGCAACAATTAGAGGGGCCTGAATGGGTCTTCTCCTGTACACATGTCAGGGCTTGCGCAAACAGCTGAGGCTCCGTCGTGACATGCGTTTCACATCCTCCTGCCCCACACCCATAGCTCTTACCCCACCCCCCCCGCATCCATGCGGCATCCTGACTGATAGGTCAAGTCGATACCCGGGCGCTGGGGTGTTAACCGTCCGGGCGAACGTTTCTGAGCATCCTGAACCTTGAAACCGTATTTCCCTCAATAAAATCTTGAACCGTAAACCTTAAATCCTAGCGCTTGAGCCCGAGAGTCAAATTCCTGGAAACAATCCAAAACCCTAAACCTTGAACCCTACACCCCCAGCGCTGTCCCACTGAGATTCTGACACCCTTTTCGTGGCTGGAGGACGGTGGCAAGACTGAGAGCTATCTTGAGAAATCTTGGGAAGGGGGGACGCGCAATCTGACATGGGCCATGAAGGGCAGAATGAAGGTCAACCCTAAACCCCTAACAACCCTAAACCGTATGGAGGATTTCACTCCGAAGTCCAAGTGGCTTGGCGGCTTTGTGGACCCCATCACGCAGACGCAAGTGCGGTCCAAGGACATCGGAGCTATACCCAGAACTCCATGAAAGGTTTATAGGATTTAAGGCCCAGGGTTTAGGGTCTAAGGGCTAGGGTTTAGGGTTTAAGGTTTAGGGTTTTACATTTACGGTTTCAGGTTTGAGGTCTAAGGTCTAAGGTGCTACAGTCCGGAAAGGGTTATATACGAAGTATTATAGGGCTTCTTAAAAGGGGCTAGGAGCTTGCACTATAGCTCATCTGATCCTGGGAAGGTTTAGGATTTCGGGTTTAGGGGGTTATTGCCCCTGTATGGGGGCCCGGGGCGGCCTTCTCTGGAGAATTGCCATATGAGCTATAGTCTCAACTTGCTAAGGTGGGGTTCTATAGGGGACTATCATAGGATTATTATGGGGGATGCTAGGAGTTTCGACCATGGCTCACATGTTGATAGGGCGTCACAGTTTAGCGATTGGGGCCTAGGGATCGGGGTAGAATAGGATGAAAAAAGCCATGGCTAATGCGTTGCTAGGCTCCAATCAAGATAGGCGTCTGATGATGACATGCGATGTGGTCTTTTTCTCTGGAGGGGTTTAATATTAGAGGGAGATGTTTCCTATGTAATCCCTGTATACGCCTAGTTACCATTTTGTTTTCCATTTTCTTTTCCATTTGATTCTCCATTTTGTGGGGTTTAATCACCTACAGAATTAGAGGCCCATCCTGGCTGCAGCTTATGGTGTTTGCAGGACCAGCTCAAGAAATTGATGGAGGAGCGTGGCTTCGCCAAGATGGGTGAGCAGCAGGTGCTTTAAGGTTTATAGGATTTAGGATTTTGGGTTTAGAGTTTTCGGTTTAGGGTTTAGGGGCTCGAAGGTTACGGCGTTACGGCCTTAGCTTCATGGACTTGTGCAAAATAGGGTCCCTTTACAACAGAGCCTTGGGGATGGGAATTGTGTTACAGGATTATGGCGATCCCCATCACAAAGGCTTTAGGGGATTGCTTTGAGAAACCCCTTGTGCAACTATTGTGATTTGTTTTCCCTCGCATAAGGCCACCTTTGTATTTGTGCACACGTGCCCAGTCTTGAGTTCAACAGGGATGTTCATCTAAACCCTTTTTGAGCTGGATGACGAGTGAGCAGCTGTTCAGGCCAGGCTCGAATAAGGGCTGCCTTGGAGTGGTTAATGTCTTAGCAGCACGTCCAGAAGGGCTTGTGTTGACAAGGCTGTTTGGCTACCTGCCTGGAGTTTTGCGACACATGTTTGGATAGTCTTGACATCTGATTTACTGGTACTCCGTAGGTGACCCCCCCACCTTCTAAAGAGTAACCAGAGGGGTCTGTGGTAATTAGTGTGGGTCCCTAGCTGTTCACTATATACCGCGGTTAGATACCTCCTTGCATTTATGCCCTGGTTCGTGGATGCTTTATTACAGTTCGTACAGCAGCAGCACCAGCAGCACCAGCACCCACCCCAGAGACCTCCTGCCTAGACCTTGAGCCCCACCATCAGTTTCGGTCCTGGGTTGGCAGGTGCAACCCCAATGGTTTGTGACGTATATTTCTTATTTCGCCCAGCCTGCAAGACATCCCGTTTGATTCATTGTGCTTGATTCTGGCAGCTGCTCCGCCCCAACTTGTAATCAAACAGATGGAGCTCCAAGAGTCAGATTGTGTTGGCCGGCCCCTTAACCTGAAAGGCATGCATGCCTGAGTGGAGGTGCCGCTTCTCATCCGCGAGCACCAGCGCAAGTATCAGTACATCGCCGCTTGGCAAGTCTGGACTGGTGTGCTAAGGGCGTTCGCAAGGAACTTGCGCACAGAAAGGCGGCTCCAACATGGGCCCCGTCATGCCATAACCCTTGCTATAGATGCCTGGGGCGCTAGCTTTTGGACCCCCTCATGTCCTAACATGCGTGATGTAGACTTGTTTATCTTCGAGCTGCGCTTGAGCGGGAGAGTTGACTACAAGTGTTTGTCTGCAGCTCACGCACTTTGCGGGGATGTCAGGTCTTGACAGGAAGCAATTGAGGCTGTCAAGAGGGGGCTTTGGCCTATCTGAGGCTTTGTGTGTTATTTGTGCCCTTTGGCAGGTTCAACGGCAAGTGTCTAAGAGGCGCATTTTTAGATCTTTACGCTGTTACATACCTAACTCTGAATCCTGAACCCTGCACCCTACACCCTGATCCCTCCACCTCTACCTCTACCATCCTGAGCCCTGAAACCCCTTAGCGCTAGACACCAACAGTCTCTGTGCTGATTTCGACGGAGGTATCGGAAGCTACCATCTGGCGTAAGAAATGATCGCTGAAGCCTCAGGCATCCTATATAAGTGGGTAGGATGGGGAACGCAGTTTAGGGTTCAGGGTTTAGGGTTTGGGGTTCAGGCTTGAGGGTTTAGGGTTCAGGGTTTAGGGTTCAAGGGGTAGGGCTTAGGGTTCAGGACTCCGGGATTACTAGTGGGCTCGGCAACCTGTTTAGTAAAGGGTTACCATGGGTTTAGAATTGGCTTAGTAAGGAGGTACATCGTGTTACCTAACTCCCGGGTCCTTCAACGTATGGTGTGGGATGTAGGAGCATGGACCATGGATTCCCAAATTGTGAATTCCTTGTAGTCTGCCGCAAGCTCATGAGAGCAGCCTCTTCCGCAAGGGTCAGAAGACATTGGGGGAGCCGCACTTGAGGTAACTATAGTATATTGATATACTCGTAGGTGTATACTGGGGATATGTGGTGATAGTGAAAAGAAAATGGAAACCACTATAATATGTTGGGTTATGTGGGGATGATGGAAAAGAAGATGGAAAGTCAAAGGCCTCCTTAGGGTTACCCTCTCGAATCCTTGACTCATGGGAAAAGGCAACAAGACGAGCAGTGCAAACGCGCATGGGGTGCTCCTCGCAGATCTTGCCAGCAAGGTCCAGGAAGTCAATCCAAACTGGCTGCTGCTTACTGAACTATGTTACGTTACCAAGATCTGGGTATTATAGCTGATATGGTTTCCGTGCTTCGTCAACTTAGCTTAAGTTCCTGAACAACAACCCAGCAACATCCTGATATACGACGTGCTCCGGCGAACATGAAGGCTTTGGAAGTACTAACCTCCAGGCCAACGCAGGCCCCTTCATAGGAGCATCAAGCATGATATGCATCACAATCATGATGACTGTAGAATACTGTTAGGCTGTGCAACCCCTGCCCTCTGCGTTGGAGACTATTGGCTATTGGAGATGGGCGGCATTCAACAAACGTGCGTTGGGGGGAGTGCGGCTTCATTCTGACAGAAGTTTCTGAGAGCAATGCATGGTCCACCACTAGACTCCAAGTAACCGGCAAGAATATCAGGCGTTTAGCCGAGGGACCGAGTTGGGTTGTGAAAGATCGGTGGTTGGCCATGAGGCCCGAGTTTGGCAAGGAAAGGGGACCCACAAATCCTGAACCCTAAACCCGCTATGATCGTAAAACCCAAGCCTCGCTCCCCAGCCCAAAAAAACTCAACACTTTGCATTGTCCAAATGCGAAATGAGTCTCGAGCCGTGCGCTCGGCGCCTGAGGACCCTGAACACCACGAAAATCTGGGTAAACCCCTGTTTCCTTGGACCTATGCAACCTAGTGCAAGAGGGGTCTCCACATTTGAGGTATTGTTTTCGCTGTTTTAATCCAGCTCGCTATAGGGTTGCGGGAACAGTACTTGTGAAGTCTAACTGGCGCTTCAGGGAGGAGTGGGCGCATCCCCACAACAATCCCTATACAGTCCCCTCCAGCCTTTAGATGAAATTCATATCCAAGATCCCCTCTGAACACGACTGAGTAGTAGATGAGGCGAGTCTGTGAGTTTCCAGCCGGCTTGGTTGACGCGACGGGCGGCTGGAGTCACGCTGCAGCTATAGCTAGTAGTCCCCTGTTCCAACTAAGTTGAAGAATGCTCCCTTAGTTACACTTCATCTTGCAAGGCTACTTTGCTTGTTTCCGCTCATGTCTGGTCTTCGTCAAAGTTGGAGGCCGCCCCTTTTCCTGGAAATGTCTCAACCCGCTCCACATTAAGCTTAGCCACAAGAGAGACCTGTCGGCAATCTGTTCGCTAGCCACAGTGGCTTCCTTACAAAGGTTCCTGTGTAAGATGGGTGCTAAGTCTTTCTGCAGGTGCGCATCATGCTTCACTAAACTACTAAAAGCGTTCACTGTAATAGTGAGAATGCCAAAGGTGTTGGTCCAGCAACCGGTCCAGCTTGAGTACCCTGAAGTAAAGCCAGTAAATAGGCTGCTACGCCAAGGTTCAGAGCCAGATTCTGCTTCATAATACGACATGGCGGGCGACTCGAGCTTTGTTTTGAAGTCAACCGCCTCTCCTAAGAACCTGCTCAGACTGTTAAGTTCCCGCCCTCCAGATAGATTCATGAATCTTCATGGTTCAACTTTGTTGTAGGCTTGTTGTTTTCTTGACAAGGTGACTGGCGGATATCCAGCCCTGTCACATTTGAAATTGCTTCTTGTATTGCTTGTCAGGACTGGCATTCTGCTTAGAGTTGTCATTTTTCTTTGGAGTATGATTTTGCTTTGACTGACAAGCTCTTCTCTTGAGCAGAGCTCCCAAGTTTGTTGTATATATCAAGGCTCACACGGCAGCTAGCTTGGTTCGCAAGACGGGCGGCTGCACATGATACTTGAACTAGCTCCATTTCAGCTCAGAACTAATTCATTACAACCAGTGGGCCATGGCATTCCACGGTGATGCCATTCTGTCTTGCTTGGTTTGCGCGACGGGCAAGTTTTCAGGGTTCTGCTTGGAAACCTTCAAAGCAAGACGAGCCTACACTCCAAGGCAGCTTCTCCTTTCCAACAGGGCCGGAATTTTCGGAACGATGTCTTTTTGACCGTCCTGGTCCTTCCCGTGTGAGGTTTCTCAGTTTGATGGGGATGCCTCTCGGGAGACTGGACAAGACTGTTCCTCCTCTGCGGGGGGGTTGGTTATCAAACGTAGACCCAGCTGGCAAGAAGCAGCCTGACATGAGCTCTACACTAACCACATGCACTCTACCAAGAGACTGACAGCAGGGTCGCAGTTTTGATATCGGCCCCAACCCGATCATCGCAGGTTGCTTGGTTGGCGCGACGGGCAACTATGCTTGCTCACTTTCACCCTTGACTTCCCTACCGAGTGAACTCTCTGAGTTCGCAGTCAGCTTGGTTTCAATGACGGGCGGCTGCTTGCGCGAATGCCCGAACTCATCTAGCTTCTTCTGCAGGGATGCAAGCGAGCCCTCAACTACGAAAGCTAGTGAGCATTCTCTCTTTCACGTCTTTTGGACCTTTGCAGAAGTTTATTCAGATGATGGGAACGGTGTTACAATGCTAGGGAGGGAAAGGGGGTATCTTTGATGTGCCTAAGCCTGGGACAGAATTCGGGCATTTGCACAGACACCCTTTTTGCGGGCACTTGCAAGTTGGCACTTTGGCCGAGGCGACCCTAAGCCTTAAATCGTAACCCCCAAATCCAGGACCCTAAATCCTAAACCCCAGTTGAAGCTTAATGCTATGGAAAGGGATTGGAGAGTTTCTCAAGGAGGTGGGCCCCCGAGGGACGCTGGGGATATCGGAGCCTGATGTGCAAGTTATAAGCGTTCCCACTACTTCTCGTGTAGGGTCATCGTGAGAAATACCTGCATAGTCCATACATACCCTTATACAACTTTCTACAACCCTGCTTAATCCCTATAAGACGCCTATATGATCCCTACATATCTGCAGCTTTTTCGTTAGGGACTTGTCGCACCGCTGACAAAGCTGGGTCTTAAGATGCATTTTTGCTCTACCAAGATGGTTTCAACAGAAAGTTCAATAGGTTGTCAAATTCTACCAGGTGACCGTTATACGAGGCTGATAACATGACATGAGCTGTATGTAGGCTGAGCGCGGGTTACCAACCCACGTGAACTGGCCCATAAGCTTCAGGGGCAGTCGGACCAAGTGGACCTGTTTTGGGTTGAGTTCGGGGCTTGTCCGATTCATGGGACCCTTTGGATTGAAGGTTCTGCGGCTAGGAAGAATAATCTGACGTACGCAGCCAGAAGCTTTTGACTTTCTAAGAACCGTTCCAGATCTCTGCATGACCTCCCTGTCCCAAGTAGACAGGCTGCACCCAGCTCAACCCTTACAATCGGCAGGCCCCTATCCCCTTTGAAGCCCTAGCTCATCCTTCTTCATCACGTGGCCCAATGAAAGTTGGCATGATGCTTGCAATTATCACAGGCGCACTATCACCACTAAGAATAGTCGAAGACTTGTTTCTAATTCTGTGTTCTTCCTAATAGGTGATGGGGATCGCTTGCGACCAGGGTCTGGACGGCAGATTGCTTGGTTGGCGCGACGGGCAACTGTCGAGGATGCGACGAAAGTTCGCGAGCTGGCTCTTTTCCCGAGCCCAAAGACAATTTCAGGGGGGCTTTACAGAATTGCCGGTTTAAGAAGCTTGCCGTAGATTTGGCTGGTCTGCCCCATACTGCAAAGTCTGTGAACCCACACCCATGTGTAAACAAAGATGGGCAAGTGGAGAGGATGTCTCACTTGTCAAGCCTAGCTTCAGGTCAATGCCAGAAGTGGCAGCCTTGAACATCGTCATCACCGTCACCATCATAAAAACTAGGACCAGCGGCAGGATAACGAGCAGCGGAGTAGTAGCCGTAGTGGTAGTAACTATGGTAGTAGTAGCAATAGAAATACAAATAAAGGGAGTAGGAGCAGAAAGGGAGATAGCGACAGCAGCAGCAGCAAACATACTGATGATCGTAATTCTCCACTTAGGGTGTTCAACTTGTAACCCCACCTCCCGAGTGTTGATCCTCAAACCCTAAACTCCCAACCGCAAGGCCTCAACTCCAAGCTGTCACACCTGGCATAACACAGCGACCTGAGCTTCCGTGGACCTCCAAGCACTCTTCTACTGCAGCGACGGCTTAAGACAACATAAAAACACTTTAACTGTGTTACTCACAGGTTCTTAGCAGAGAATAAGGGAATATGGTCCCAATATTACATAAACCCCTTACAATAGATTCCCATATCACCACAAAGGAGCAGCAAGGTTATGCTTAAAGTGGACTAACATCAAGGCCTGAAGAATTGTGATAGGCATTCCCTGGTTGTCTTCATAAACCTGTGGTATACCTTACATAACATCCCAAAACTAAGCTGTGTATTTGTTCAGCCTTCTTCCCTGTGCTTCTGTCCGGGGGATCAGGGGTTCGAGCTGCTGATTTTGGATGTAGGGTTAAGGGCGGGGTTTAGTTTGACAGTGGCAGGCGGA